AAGCTGCTGGTCTGGGGCTGTGGAACACGCTTGGCCTGGGGACTGCTGATGGCAACTCTGACCACCACACAAAAGAGAGAGCATACTTCTCAGTCCCCACTGAGTATCTGAGACCATGCCCAGAATGGGCTGGTATTGCAGAAGCTATTGCCTGAATAAGTTCCCACAACAGACTGCTGTCCTGAGCTTTTCATTAAGGTCATCATGAAAGGCAATGAATCAAAAAAGAACAAACAAAAAAATGAATACAAAAAATGCCTTTATCTGACCTCCATGGGCACCAGGCATGTATGTAGTGCACATGCATACATGCAGGCAAACACTCATACACATAAAAAGGAAGGAAGAATTAATGAAAGAAGGAACCTGCCTTTTTGCTTTTGAATGCTTAACTGTAATTGTCTTTGAGTAGACTTGAATTGAACTTGAATAGTAAATGGCCTTTTATTGCGGTAAATAAGGATCAGGATAAACAAATAGGCCGAATAGATGTTTATTCAGGGAGAAATAACTTACAACCTAGACAGATGAACACCAGGAAATTCAACCCGATCCTCTCCTGTCCGAGTCAGGCCAGAAAGAGAGAGCCTTTCCTGGCCCCCTCGGACCTCCTTCCACAGGTCACTTCCACCCATGGCTCCACCCCCCCAATGGGCGTGGTCAGTGCCACAGAAGGAGACAAAGTGAATATCCCACTACAGCCTCTAAACTTCTGTACCTATATATCTGTATTATTTTCTAGACCTGGAAGAATTTTTTAAATAAATTTATTTTTTTATTTTACATCTAGGTCACCATTTTCCCTCCCTATTCTCTTCCCAGTTCCTCCCTGCCGCCTCCACCCTTCTGTTCCCACCTACCTCCCAATCCACTCCTACTCTGTTTTTGTTTCAGAAAGGGCAGGTCTACCATGAGTATCAATAGCATAGGGCATATCAAGTTGCAGTAAAACTAAACACCTCCCCATGTATTAAAGCTGGGCAAGGTGATCAAGTATGAGGAGTAGGGTCCCCAAAGCAAGTAAAAGAGTTAGAGACAGCCCCTCCTCCAACAGTTGGGAATCCCACAAGAGGAGCAAGCTATACAACCATGACATATATGCAGAATGTCTAGGTCAATCCCATGCAGGGTCCCTGGATATTGGTTCAGTGCCTGGGAACATTTGTTAATATTAGTTCTTTTAGTGATCCTTCTCCTGTTTTGTCATTCTGAAGTCTTTTTGGAGCCTCAATACCTTAAATATTTATTCTTTGAATATTGTACCAAAGTTCCCATACTCCTTCAGTCATTCTTTATTCCATTTTCCTTTTTCTCTTCCAAATGTGCAATTTTTTTTTTCAAATAACCTATCTTCAATCTCAATAATTCTTTTTTTCCGTTTGATCTGCCTTACAATTGATGCCATTTATCCATTTTTTTAACTCAACTAGTACACTCTTCAGCTAAGGAATTTGTCTGGTATGGTGGCTATTTTCGTTTGTCAACTTGACTACATCCGGAATTCACTAAAAACCAAAAGTGGAGAGCACACCTGTGAGGGATTTTTGCTTAACTTGAAGTAGGAAGATCTATTTCTAATTCACATCTTTGAGGCAGGAAGACTCACCTTTTATCCAGACCCTTTGAGCTGGAAAACCCCACCTCTAATATGGATCATGCCTTCTGCTGGAACCCTTGTTCTTTGCCTGGTTGCTCTCGCCTTACTAGCAAGCCCATTCCTTCACTGGCTTTAGGACCTACTTCTTCAGGATTCCAGCATGTACTGAAAACCAGCTGAGACTCCCAACTCATAGACTGAGCAGCAACTGGATTCTTGGGCCTTCTGTTGGTAGACAACCATTGTTAGACTAGCTGGATCAATGGCTTGTCGGTAATTCTAATAAATCTTTGTTCTGTATATAGAAAAATATTAATTCTATAAATTCTGTTTCTGGTTTTTCTTGCTTCCTTCTCTTTGTTAAGGTTCTTTGCCAGAGTACTGAATCATTTCAGTGTGTGTTCTTGAAGATGCTGAGTCCCTCTCACCATAGTTACTTTTAATTTTCTCATAGGACTTCCATACTGATTCTATCTTGTCAATTTCTAACATCTAATTTTGACCATTGGGAAAAACTGGGGTTTCTTAAAGGCAATGAATGTCTATGGTGTGCCAAATCATCTAAGAACTGAAAGATTGGGTGTTTCAGTCTTCACGATCTGGTTTTGTTAGTCTGTCTTTCCAGGAACAAGCTGGTTTCCACCTGTAGTCATTTCCACCATCTCAGCATAGGCAGCATCCAAACCCAGTTTGTTTTTTTGCTGTGTAGTAATGATATATCTTCTTTCGGAACTAGAGAGTAATCGAGACGCAGATTTGTCTCAGACAGTGGTGTGTGGTTCAAAATAAGTAAGTCTGATATCTAGAAAGAGCATCCATTGCCACTACTTCCCCCTGGGGCTGGAGTAGAACCAGATGTTTCATCCCTTCATGATCCTATAGTCAGACACTGCAGAATTTTGCCTAAAACTGGATGGAGCCACTATTAATGAACCAAGTTCCTATGCCACATTCATGGCAATAAATGCCACTAAGCAATCTTATGCTTTGAGCCCACAGCCCGAAAACCATAGCACAAGGTTCATGAAGCAGACTCCTGACCTAAGACCTCAGTTATCAGGCATAAACAATGCTGGCTGGTACAGGAGTTTAATAGCATAGGTCACATGTTTTTTCCCTGGCACTGGGCTTCTCCCAGGTACAAGAAAGCCTGGAGCTGTGAGTTGTAGGATTTCCTCAGTGCTGGGTGTCATCAAGCTGGCACCAATTCCCAGCATATTCATGCACTGACTCCCTTGCTCTACTCCACCCCAAACCCAGCAAACAAGACCCTGTGTATAATATGCTGCCCCAGTTTGGTGTTGACCTGTGCTAAAACTGACAGTGATTCAAGACAAAATACAAACAGGTTCCACCAGGTACAGATTTCTTCCTAGTGTTGGAGGAATTATAGAGTCCTGTCTGCAACCTCTGGAGATAGGATGTATGTACCAAGGGTGTATAGCTAAGCCAGGTCGTACCACAACATCACAGTCACTGGTACCCTCATGTGGGAAGCCATGCTGGCTTCATCAGGCTTTGCCACGTCAGCTTGTTTACTGCTTTTGTATCCTAATCGTCTGCGCATGAGCATATGACATTATCCTAATGTGGCTGCTCACCTATCCCGACTGGGTGATGCATAATCGTCCAATGAGAACTAAACCAATCAGACGACATTGCACGTCCATATCATCATGAGTATATAAGCTTGGTGCTCCGTAGGGTCGGGGTCCTTCTCTTTTTCAGTCCTTCTCTCTTTCAGCTTGGCGCTCCCAATAAAGTGTGCTTGAGAAGAATCCTGCTGTTGTCGTTCTTCCTGCTGGCCTCAGTCTGAGGGGAGTTCTCAGGCTCACTGTGCATCTGGCAATGATGTAGAATGAAGCTGAGTCTGTTTCATCAGAGTACAGGTTTCTACCTGACACTGGAACAGATCTACAGAATCTCCTGTGAGCACCTGGTGGTGTTCTTTCGTTCCAGTTATAAGAATAAAAGCTGGAGAAGGGGGGGTGAGTGGTCCCGAGTGAAGGTCCCAAGTGAGTGGGATCCCAAGGTAAGGGAGAGCTCTTGTGGGAGAGCATAGCAGATTAGAGTGACCGAGGCAGAGGGAATAACACACCAGGCAGATACAGCTTAAATGAGGAGTTTATTTAGAAAGGGGAGTGAGGGGGAAGGGAAGAGACATAGAGGCACGGGACAGAAGAGGAGAGAGGGAAAGGGAAGGGGGAGAAAAAGAGGGGGGTGGCTGGTGGCCAACCAAAAGCAGGAGAGAGACCTGCCTGCAGACTAGTAATCATGGAACCCTGAGCTGACCAGAGTACTGCCTGAGTGCATCCTGCCAGGTGACAGGGGCAGGCCAGCCAGCGTAGTGCCTGAATCCTTACACCTGGGAGTGCAGGCAGTGACTTTGGTTTCTACATCACAGAGGCCTGGGAATTGAGCTTCAAAACAAGAAAGAAGCCAAGAAAATAATCCCATTCTCAATAGCTTTTTTAACAATATAACAACATTACTGACCTACAAAAGAAGCAAAGGACCTCTACACGGAAAATTTAACACTAAAAACAAAAAAAAAAAAAAAAAAATGAGTGGGACATATGAAGACGCAAAGACCTGTATTCATGTTTCAATAGAATTGATATCATGAAAAAGGCTATATTAGTGAAAGAGACCCGTGCTTGGGTGCAATCCTCATCGGAATTCTAATGTGAGTTTTCACAGAGATTGAAAAAAAAATCCTAAAGTTCATATGAAAACACAAAAGACCCTGAAAACCCAAAGCAGCGTTTAACAAAAAGATTAATGTTGGAATTACCAAAATACTTGATTTCAAATTACACTACGGAGCCACAGTAACAAAACCAGTATAAATGCTGACCCAGAAACAGACACGTAGACTGACAGACTAATACGAAAGGCCAAAATACAAGCCTACGCAACTATAGTGACACAAGTTTTGAAAAAGTTGACAAAATAAAGAATTCTACTTCCTACTTATTATTACCAATTCATGTGTTTTCTGTTTCATTTTAATTTCATAATCCCCATCCTAATAGGTAAAGGATGATGTCCCATTATGATACTAACTTTACTTTTGTTTCATTTTTATATGCATTATGCACAAAGAAGCCGGAAAAAAAATGACCCTTAAGTTAATAACTCCTTTTATTTTGAACCAAGCAGAGTAGAGATGGCTCTCAGTTGAACTGTTCTGTAATACACTCTAGCGTACTAATAACTCAGCACGTATGTCAGTACAGACCACGGTCAATACAAAGTTTCAGACTGAAGCACTCAGCGGTGACTTTGTGTGATAACTCATGAAAATCATCCTAAAGGAGCATGGGTGCTTGCTGGATTGAGGGGGAATAGAGAGATGAAAGAATAAATGAGGGCAGCAGCCCTCATGGTGGGAAGGGTGTGGACCATGTCACCAACACCTGCATAGCAACGGCCAGTCTGTTCTTTAGCGAGGGATGAAGAACAGCTGATATGAAGGTGGTACACGGCCAAAAGTACTGGCCACTGGGGTAGTCTCAATGTCCTTTGTGTCAACCAAAGACTTCAGACTGAAATTCTGTAAAATGGTGGTCAGAAGCAGAAACAGCTCCATCCGAGCCAGGGCCTCTCCCACACACATTCGCTTTCCTGAAAAACAAAAGCAAACACAGAGGATTCCCTGCTTACAGTAGGTTATGAACTGTTAGAAAGGCAAATATAAAGTCTTAAGTTGTAGATGAGTGGAACAGAATGACAGAATGAACAGAGGTGCACACAACGTTAGATATAATGCCATCCACTTAGTGTCTGGTTTCAGTAGGCACCCTTCATTTTTAAATATTTATTATAAGCTCTATATCACAACTTCAGTAACAACTCATACAATAGAAATTATCCTTTGACCTTTCACGGTGACATCAGCCTCCCTGTAAGTGACACACTTCACTGCTCTAACGGCTGAAAGCAGAAGTGTCAAGGAGACACCAGGTTTCCCTTTGTGTCTATTCAAGCTTACCTGTCTATATTATCACCTCACTTCAGCTGCAACTCCTGACTCTGCCCTATGAGGCAAGATCCAAATGGATTGGCCTGGGCATTCACATTCTCCCAAAGCTATCCTAGCCCTCCTCAGCTCCATTAGTCTGGGAAGTTCCGCTCTGATACTTTCCTGGAGACCTGCTGTCTGTGTCATTTTTTTATGACTCTTTGTGACCCTGACTCCCAGGCTTCCTCGATACCCCTGCTTTCAAAGTAGCATGGAGCAGTTGAATGCTATTCTATGCCATCTTCTGCCCCCCCTGCCAAAATATGAGTTCCCTAAAACGAAGGGCTCAATCTGTCACATATGAAAATGTACAATGCAGACCCACATGAAAACATGATAAAATGAATGTGACTCTGTATTCAGAGACTTGGAACACATACTGTGCAGTGAGATTGAAACCCAAGGTGTAGGTTCATAAGTAAAAGAAACTCTAGGAGCTCTGGAATCACTGCAGCGTATGCTTCCCCATTTCCAAGCTCTTTCTCACCTTGCATTCTTGACAAGTTCTAGTGTCCTGCATCTACAGAAAATGTCCCCTCCTGTATTTGGTCTCCTCTTTACAGTTCCCTCCTCTTCTTACCTTACTTCCTCCTCCCTAGGAGCCAACCAACTTCCCTGTGCCCTGTTAGAATGCTCTGTGGTCTGAAAGAGCAGGATATGAGCAACTTCTCCTCTGACCTCGCCAGAAACCAAGCTTCCCTCTCTCACAGCACTGGGTTACAGTGGCCTGTTGACTCACCTGCCTTCCTAACTCACAAGTGAGTCTCTTCAGAGCCCATTATATTCTCTAGGGCACTTGGGTTCTCAGAGCTGTCTGAGAATGAGCTGAGATACTTTTCTCATGCAGGTGAGGAAAGTCTAAATGAGGTTCACTTCCAAGAGGAGCATTTAGGAAGGTTAGAGGCGAATGCAGAAGCAAAATTCAACTGACCTATATATTCTAGTTTTCTCCATTTAAAATATAGGCTGGATATACTCATAGCCCCACTAATGTGAAGCAACACTGAGGCTGTCACAGTTGAGGAGCACGCATGGGCATTGGGAGCATTGCTTCTGAGGAGACACAAAGAGCAAACCCGCTTGTCCATGAGAACATGGTGGATGATCCAATTTATCTCCAAATTGGATCTTGTGGATCCTGGTGGCACATGTCTCTAGTACCAAATACTCAGACAGCTGAGACAAGAACCTTGAGTTCAGCAGTTAAAGGTCAGCCTAGACAACATAGTGCCAAAAATAAAGTTTACCTTGTACCTGAAGTACAAATAGAAATAAATTTCATGTACCTGTTGAGAAAGGCATGAAGTAGTCACTCTTCTTAAAGTTTCCATTCTCATCCAGAAAATGTCCAGGGTCAAATGTTTTGGGGTTTGGAAATTCTTTGTCATCATGTAGCACAGAAGTCAGTGATGTTATTAAGTCCGTGCCCTGGAAATAACAAATAAAAACATGACATGAGGAATTCATTGAGTAGAAGCAGGGTGGCTCAGCAGGTAAAGGCACTTGCATGCAAGCCTGACAACCTAAATTTGACCCTGGGTCCCAGAAAGTGACAGAAGAGAACTGACTCATTCAAGTGCTTCTCTGACCTACACACACACACACACACACACACACACACACACACACACACTCAATAAATGTAATTTCAAAAACTAACAATGAAAGAAGAAACAAGGATGCTGCCATGGCTTTTTTCTTTCTCTCTTTTCTTCTTTTTTGGTGTTTCACTGCCTTTATAAGTATTAATGCTCACAAAGTATTATTGTTCAACTCTTTTTATTGAAAATTTTTATTCATTTTATATGCCAACCACAGTTCCCTCCCCTCCTCCTTCTTCCCCCATGTTCACTGTCTTAGATATCCTCATTCACGAAATAATGCAAAAAGAACATTATATCCACCAAAGTTAGTCCTAAAAAAAGAAGGTGTAGTAAAGGTTCCATTAAAAAATTAAAAAGACTATATCTTTACCAGACATAAGTAAATTTTAATGGAGTTCTTTAAAGTGAAAGAGATACCAGTTCGTAAGAAAAACCATGAGGCTGTATATAGAGCTCATAGGGAACAATAGATCACAGACAAAATCAAAAGACTTGAACACTGCAAAAAATAAAACACAAATCATATCTGTACTATGAATGACAAGAAGTCAAAAATCATAAATATATAAGTATGTTCAAATATAGGCAATATAAGAAGATAAATGATATAACATCCAAATCAAATTGTGGGGCCATAGCTCAGAGGAACAACACTTGGCTGACATGTGCAAAGCCCTGGCCTCAATCCCCAGCACTGCACTACAAGAAATGAAACAAAAGTAGCAAGGATAAATTTTCAAAGCATACAGGAGCATGGTGGCACATGCCCATAGCCCATAGGGCTGAGAGGCAGAAATAGAGGAATTATTTGAACTCAAAAGACTGGGGATAGCATCAGCAAAACCATGAGACACTGACTTAGAGTATTAAAAATGTTCAGAATGTAGGAAGGAATAGAGTATAGGTACAGAGTTTTTATTTAGCTATTTTCTGTTTCCTTTGGTTGATTAGTTTATCTCTTTATCAGCATGATAAGTTGCCATTTCAACATAGCATCATGTTTTCTTATACAAGGCAAAATCTATAGTAGATACACATAAAATAAGCAAGAAATCAAAACACACACACTTTTTGAGTAAATCACATTGCCACAAAAGAGGATTTTAAAAGAGAGAGAATAAATGAGGTGTAATTAAATAAGGAAACAAAAGATAATTGGAAGGCATTGTTTGTCAATGATTACCCTAATTATAGATGAAATTCTCAGATTTAAATGCCACACCACAAGAAACTTAATTTAAAGAAAAAAACATGTTAAAAAAAAACATATTGTCAGCTTACTTCATTTGTTCATTTGTAGAGATGAATATAAATGAAAAGAGATGCAGTAAGATGTCCCAGGCAGTGGAATCCAAATAAAGCAGAAGTAGCAATAGTTAAATAAAATATACTTTAGCCAAATCAGAAAAATGAGACAAAGAAGGTCATTATATAATAACAAAGGGGTTGATTTAGCCAGAGGGATGTATACAATTAAATTATATGTTATGTATTATGATATATAATCATACACATAGATGATATTATAAAACTTCAATTATACATTGTATGTTATTATATGTAATATGGTCTCCAATGTGATGCATGGTACAACACAGAGCAGCTAAATGTAAAAACTTAACATATTAGGATTATAGGGAAACATAGACTCCAATATAGTAAGAGAAGGGGCCTTCAACATATACATCCCTTTCAGGAATGTATAGCTCACATAGCTAGTCAACAAAAGTAGCGGAATTTTAAGTGTTTTGAAGAGTTCACAGTTTATTCAGAAATCTTATTCATTCTAGAAAAAGGGGTGATGTGGAAGCCATTATACTGAAAACAAAGCAATGTTGAGAAAATAAAGGAAAGTTCAGATAAGTTGGAACCATAATCAATTCCACAAATTGGATATTTTAGCATGTTAAAGCATCAATAATTTATAAATTATTGCATTTAAAATCACCCCAATAAAAAGTCTCAGAGAAGCCTTTTGGAAAATCAACACACTGGATATTTAACATTTACTTAGAAATATATACAGAACCCCAAAAATATTAAAGGCCATATTTGGAAGACATTGGCTAATGTGGCATAAAGCAGTAAGAAGATCTGTGAGTTCAAGGTTAGCCATAGCTACACAGTGAGTTCCAGGCTAGCCAGAACTACACAGTAAGATCCCCTCAAAAGAAGAGAAGGAGGAAGAGGGAGGAGAAGGAGGAGAAGGAGAAGGAGGAGAAGGAGGAGGAGAAGAAGGAGAAGGAGGAGAAGAAGGAGAAGGAGGAGGAGGAGAAGAAGAAGAAGAAGAAGAAAAGTCATAAAACTTGTCTTACAGGAATCCTGAACTTCCCTCGTTTTTCTCATTTTGTGTTGGTGGAGGACTGGAATCATATTTTGAATTCAGAAACTACCAGATAACTGAAGTCATGGTAGAGGAACAAGCTTACCTTGGGAATTACATAATTTCTGAATTTAACATTGCAGGTAGCTGCATGGGGCACATTATTGGGGATGAGGTTAACGTATCTCTGGATCTCATGCACCATTGCATCTGTGTAGGGCATTCGGGTCCTGTCCTGCATGCAGGGACTCCTGTGTCTGCCAATCACATGATCAATCTCTCTCTGGACTTTAGCTGATAGGGCACAATTGAGAAATAGTACAGTTGTCATAACAATTCAAGTGTATATGAAGTGTCGTCTGCACACTTAGAATTAGAGAATTATTATAATGCACAAACCTATCCCACTATTTAGGTATTACCTGTGCAGACAAGTATATTGTTGTACAGAATAATCAATACACTGAAATGAAGTGTTTTGATATGTAAATGTTATGTACTCTGTAGTTGGTAGCTTTTATGTGTCTCATAAAAGCGGTCCCACGGCTTAATAATAATAATAATTGTTTGGTCAATGGCTCAAGCATATTACTAACTAACTCTCACAATTAAGTTAACCCATTTCTATCATTTTAAAATTTACCATGAAGCTAGTGGCTTGTTACCTCACATCCTTTTTTCCCTGGTGGCTACATGGTATCTCCCTAACTTGACTTTCTTTCTCTCTGTAACTGTTTGGATTTCCCCCCTGGCTCTATTATACCTGGCCATTAAACAAAACAGCTTTATTCATCAACCAGTAAGAGCAACACATATTCGCAGAATAAAGATATCCCACATCAACATATGAATAATAACTCTTACAAAAACACCAAACAAAAATTAATTTCATGTCAAAATCACAGTGGTGCTTCAAAATGGAATCCTGGAGCTGGAGGGATATTTTGGTGGTTAAAAGCACTGACCTGTCCTCCAGAGGACCCAGATTTAATTCCTAGTATCCACCAGTGGCCCACAACAGTCTATAACTCCAATATCAGGAGATCTGATATTCTCTTCTGGTCCTTGTAGGCACTAGGCATGCATGCAGTCCACAGACATATGTGTAGGCAAGACATCCATATACATAATATGTATATGCATGTATATATGCATATGTGAAACTTAGTATCTTTTTTTATCCTTGCATTTCCCAAAGGCATTTACTTTGAGAAATTCTAGAAGTTTTGTCTGTAGTTTTTCTTTACATTTGTAGGTAATAACTATTTCTATTATGTGATTATACTATTTCTGAGCAGTTTTACAATAGAGATGAATTATACTATGACCACTTCACACAAATATACAAACTCACACACATATACATACATGCATACATATAAACATACATATATGCACATATATACATGCACACATACACAAATATAAATACTACTGACAGTACCCAGAGTATCTTTTCATTGAATTCAGAGCTTGGGTGTTTAACTACTGCTCACAGTAACTGTTCTTCCCTTTCTCATTTTCTCTGTTGTCAAAATTGATCTCATTTTTATCTTACCATATTGCACAAATTACATCGAGTGACACAAAAAATATCAACATTAGAACTCCTCTCATAGATATCTAAAGAAGACGAACTTCGGGCTGGAGAGATGGCTCAGCCGTTAAAGGCTAGGATCCCAACCAAAAATTTAAGAATAACTTTGCCTCACACATGCCAGCATCATACCTGTGAACTCTTTGTGCTTCAGGAGGAGCAAGAGCCCGTATCTGAGGGTAGTACTTGTGGTTTCTGATCCAGCTACAAACACATCAGCCACAGTAGCCATCAGGCTTTCAGTAGTAAACTCAGAGTGTGGATTGTCCTTTTCCTGGGAATTTTTATTTGGTTATTAGATAGTGACCATTATATTAAATCACAACAAGTGCAACTAATACAGGTTGTCCCACAGATACGCAAATTTAGAAAGTGAAGGGTGTAGTAAAAATATTACAGCAAATGCACAGTATGGCAGAGAATGCAATTTACCTAACCCGATCTTCATTTCTATTTCCTTATTTCTTCCTTGCATCAAAATCCAATTTCCCAGACCTTCTTACAGCTCTGTTAAGCCATAAAAATCATGTCACACTAACATAAGAGAAAGAACCTACTGATGCAAATTTCTCATTCATTTTTACTTGAAATACATACGGCAATGGAGGCTGTACACCTGGAACATTAGTATTTTTAAAATCCGTATGAGGGCTGGAAAAATGGCTTAGCAGTTAAAAGCACTTGTTGCTCTTTCAGAGGACCCAAGTTCATCTCTTGGCACCCACATCAGGCTGTTCTGTAAATTCATTGTAACTCCAGCACCAAAGGATCTAACACCTCTGGCCTCCAGGGTCACCTGCACTCGTGTACAAATACATACATCTATGCATAGTTTTCAATAATAATAAATCTTTAACATCAGCACAAACACTGGCACACAAAGTATAAGCCTGGCAAATGCTTTTAGAATGTGATACAAAATTGAGTAAGAGACTCTTGAGTCTCTCTCCACCTATCTCTCTGAAGGAAAGACAGAACGGGTTTAGAGCCTAACACACTTGTTCGTTTTCATCTAGATTGTTCTATTACCAGTGAAGAACTGGGAGTCAAATATTGGGATGAAAGCCTGATAGAACAAAGACGCGGCAAAGGAACGATCAGCTGACCTTCTCTTCACACTTCCCAGACCAAAGAAGGAAGGGAGGAAGTCCACAAATCTCCAAGCCCATTCCTACCCCTTCCTGTGCCTTTCTATCCATATCCTGGGTCCTCTGTACTCTCTATGGCTAATTTTTGTCAACTAGTCACTGGCTCTGCCTCGATTCAAGGTTAACTTGACTAACACAGTCTCAAGGTGTCACATTGTGATTGAATATCCCACAAAACTTGTCAAATGAGAAATTATTTATATTCATACCAAATGAGAAGTAAAGGTTGAAAGTATATTGGGCCAATGATAATCCAAAACATCCAAACAAGAAAATTCCTTCATTCTCTCTTTCTTTTCTTTTTTCTTTTTCTTTTTTTTTTCTGATTTTTTTCAAGTGAGGGTTTTCCTATGTAGCCTTAGCTGTCCTGGAACCCACTCTGAAGACCAACCTGGCCTCAAACTCACAGAGATCCACCTGCCTCTGCCTCCCAAGTGCTGGGACACCATGCCAGCATCATAAAAATTTTTGGAAGTCCTGAAATACAGATATTTTTTTTTGACTGAAAGGAGAACAAGACCATAATTGAAACACTATCTCCAAGGTTCCCAGTGAGCTAGCTGAAGCTTAATTAAGTGACTCTGGAACAGAGGGAAATAAACAAACACCTGTGTGGTTCTCTAAACCAGAGTGAACTGGCTGCTTTGTATAGTCACGCAAGCACCCTATGGGTGGTAATCACTGGGAAGACTATGGTAGGTGCAGGTGAATATGCAGACAATATGCAGACTGCACATTGCTATTCCAATATTAATTATTACAGCAGATAGCAAGGTGGTTCCTTGAGAGAGCAAAAAATGAAATGAACATGATTCAGCCACTCCACTCTTCATCCTACATCCAAAAACTAATTGAAATACATAAGTCAAGGAGATGCCTGCTGTCCTGTGTTATTTCCAGCATTATCCATTGGAAACCATCAAGGTGCCCCTCAATAAGCTGGTGGGTTTTTAAAATATGAGATAGACTAAAATTCAAAGGTGGCTGAGAATAAACCAAGATTAATGTCAATATTATTTTCCCATAATCCAGACTACCATTAAACCAGTCCAAATAAGGGAAAGCCTTATAGCTGGTCTTTGAATTCCATTCTCTTCTCAGATATCACTGGGCACATATTCTGCAGGTAGTCAGGAAAAGGACTTTTCATTTTTCTGTGTAATTTCAATACATAGAATATATACTGGGTGCCTTGAATTCTCAAAAAGGCTATTGATCACTTAACCATCCCCAGAGAAATGAGCAAATGACCTGTCACTTAGCCTGAGGCTAGAAGCCTCAGGCTCTGGATTTCACATTACATGGCCATAGTTTTTCCCTTTGACCTAGCCACTGTAGATGTAATCTCTAGGGCTGGCAGGTCCCCTTAATCAGCTAGCATTGGGGGAAAATGCTGATTCAGATCAAACACCACCCATTTTCCTTCTGCAGCTTAGGCCAGTTGCCATGGCTACCATGATGCATTCCCTGCTGCTAAGAAAGTGAAAGGGAATGCTTAGAAAGCACAGAGCTACTGCCTCTCTTCCCATTTTTCTACATTTACCAATTATAGACTTCTAGCTTAGCTAGTCACACTTAAGAATGTAAGGTTAGCACACACACACACACACACACACACAACTTTTTCTCTTCTTAGCATTCCATACTAACTTAAAGCTCCCTTCTAATTGATCTTCCCACTATCTACCAGGGAGTTCCACAGCCAAGCCCCATCTGAGACATAAGTAAGATAACAGGCACACACTTTGTCAGCCTTATCTATCTTCTTGGCCCTGAGAAATGTATGCCTGGTACCCTTGCTATTGCCAGAGAATTGCTAGTTGTATCTGTGTGAGTATATAAGCTGAAAATCTTGTGGGATGAGAGAGATTATTAGAAGAATAAAGAAACACAATGAGAAGATGATGTGTGTGAGCTAATTCCTTCACACTCAGATCCCTTTACCTATGTCCTATGCTTACTGAAGCGTCCTGACTGAAGCCTGAGGGAGCATTGAGGTTGGCACTCAAAAGCCCATGTTAAAATTAACATAGGAAAGCAACAGTTTCTCAGTCATAAAGACAGCTAATTTTACATGGAGGGATACTCTCTTACCTAGAGGCAGGAGGGAGGGCCTGGTCCCTACTCCAAATGACTTGACAGACTTTGTTGATCCCTCCTGGAAGGCATCACCCTCCCTGTGGAGTTGGGGGGGGAATGAGATGGGAGGGTGGTTTGGGGACATGGAAGGGAAGGAGGGAGGGAGGGAGGGAGGGAGTGAATGATGTGGGGGGGGGCTATGTGAAAGGGCTGCTGCTATGGAAAAGAACTTTGTAAAGATCTGTGTGAGAGAGTGTGAAGGAACTGTGTAAAATGCTGTATGGTAAGAGAGCTATGTAAAAGAGATGTATAGCAATGGCTATGTGGAGATATGTAGCTGTGTAGAGACAAGCTGTGTAGATGAAGTCAAAAAGAAAGTTACTAATAGAAAGCATCTGTATTTCCTTACTTTTTCACCTCAGATAGATAATTTTTTTCCTTAAGCCCTCACCAAATCCATGGATTGTTTGCATGCCCTGGGTGCTGAGTGGAGGCTGGCCTCTAGTTAGCAGAATTTAATCTTTGGTATTTTGTGTTTTCTAAGTTGTTTATATGTCTAACTCGCCTGAAATGTATATTCCCTTTCCTCATACAACTTATTAAATGATGGCCATGTATTTTGATTGTTGAACGATTCAATTTTAAATCTTAAATGATGCTAGTCCAATCCAATACCACAATGGGAACCTAAAGTGCTTAGCAAGTGTTTCTTGCCTGAAAAGTTAAATTTCTCCCAGTAAGAATAGAAATAATTGATGAAATACAAAATGCAAGCCAACAAACTGCACTTTACCTGTTCCATTTTGATCAGGAAACAGTCGATGAAGTCCCGAGGATTGTCCATGTCCAGGGTTTCTTGGTGTTCTTTTACTCGTGTCAAAATATAACTTTTTATTTCGGCAAAATTTTTAAGTGCTTTGTTATGGCTCCCTGGGAGATAATCAAGGAAGGCAGGGATAGCGTTGCAGACCTTGAAGATTTAAAAATACATGTTTGTTAGGCTGAATGTGGTGACTCACATTGTAGACCAGTTACTCAGGAGGCTTATGTGAGTGAATCACCAGAGTCTAGGGTAGCAGAGTAAGATGCCATCTCAAAAAAACCAGCCCCAAATTATGAATATGTATTAGAGTCACGTTCAGCATTTACCAAGCAATAGTCAAAAGATAAAATGAGTAAAAAAAAAAAAAAGATGGTGTCGTTTGACAAAGAACATTTAACTAAATATAGAAAAGAGTCAGTCCACTATGTTGATCAAGATGACCAAAGATGAAAAGTGACCACATAGTGGTCAAACTCAGCTGTGGAATTTCATGATAGTGACTCTTGTGCAGATAGATCATGAAGGACATTTGCCAGGCCTGGTCTTGAGACAGATATGGCTGTTTAAAACTGAGCAACTCTTTTTATTTCCCTGACTTCTGTGGCTATTTCAGGTTATATATGAGAGAGAGTCTTTGATATATGATAGGGACTTATTTCCATGCGATCTTGACAATATGGCTAACTATACAAAACCTGAACAATGACAACTCCAATTGACAAACATGGACCTTAGAAGTCTCACAAGGCCGCACCCCTAGATGAAGAACTAAAGGCAATTAATGGATGCTAAAAGTGGGAGAATAAGTCTTGTCCAGAGAGGAGACCCCTTTGAGGTTAGCCAGTCCAAAATGGTCATCTTTAAACATATATACATAAGAGCAACACATGTAATTATATATCCATATATATTATTAAACAATAATTAAAGCAGAGGTCATAAAGTTGAGAGGAAGTGAGGAGACAGAGCTGAGGAGGGAGAGTGTGAGAATTATAAAAACATGGTACTCATCTATAAAATTAAATTCTCAAAATAATAATAAAATAAATGTTTTTTTTAAACCTGGGATACCCTTGGGGACTGAGAATAAAAAAAAAAAAAATCATTGAAAATCCTGATGTTAACCCACACACCTATGAACACCTGATTTTCAACAAAACAGCTAAAAGAATACAATGGGGCGAGGACAGCATCTTCAACAAATGGTGCTGGCACAACTGGATAATGGTATGTAAAAGATTGCCGATAGACTCATGTTTATTGCCATGCACAAAACTCAAGTCCAAATGGATCAAAGACCTCAACATAAATCCAGCCACACTGAACCTCTTAGAAGAGAAAGTGGGAGGTACCCTTGAACAAATTGGTACAGGAGACTGCTTCCTGAACATAATTCCAGTAGCACAGACACTGAGATTGACAATTAATAAATGGGACCTCCTCAAACTTAGAAGCTTCTGTAAGGCAAAGGACACAGTTGACAAGACCAAATGGCAGCCCAAAGACTGGGAAAAGATCTTCACCAACCCTACATCTGACAGAGGGCTGATCTCCAAAATGTACAAAGAACTCAAGAAACTAGTCAACAAAACACCAAATAAGCCTATTTTAAAAATGGGGTACAGAACTGAAGAAAGAATTCTCAATAGAGTGACTCAAAAAGGCTGAAAGACACTTAAGAAACTGCTCAACATCCTTAGCTATCAGGGAAATGGAAATCAAAACAACTGTGAAGTATCATCTTACTCCTGCTAGAATGGCTAGAATTAGAAACACCAATGGCAACTTATACTGGAGAGGATGTGGAGAAAGGGGAATACTCCTCCACTGCTGGTAGGAGTGCAAACTCATACAGCCATTTTGGAGATCAGTATGGCAGTTCCTCAGGAAAATGGGAATTAGTTTACCACAGGACCTGGCAATCCCCCTCTTAGGCATATACCCAAATGATCCACATCCATGCAACAAAGACATCTGCTCAACTATGTTCATAGCAGCACTACTTGTAATAGATGCTCCTCAGTTGAAGAATGGATAAAGAAGATGTGGCACATCTACACAATGGAATACTACTCTGCAGAAAAAAATAATGGAATCTTGAAACTTGCAGGCAAGTGGATGGCACTTGAAGGAACTATCCTGAATGAGGTAACCCAGTCACAAAAAGAGGAACATGGTATGTACTCGCTCATATATGGATTTTAGACCTAGAGCAAAGGATCACCAACCTATAATTCACACCACCAGAGGAACTAGGATACAAGGTGTATTCTAAGAGATTCATATAAAGTCCCTCACAGAAGGGGAAAGGGACAAGTCTCCCAGAGCACAGGGGAAGTAGGGGGGGCAGTGAATAGAGAGAGAAGTAGGAGAAAGAGAGGGGGAGGAGAGGAAAGCACTTGCAACTAGGAAGATTGAGTCAGGGTAGGAATAGAAGACAGGAGAGACAGAGAGAGAGAGAGAGAGAGAGAGAAAGAGAGAGAGAGAGAGAGAATGAACATAAAAGATGGAGCCATTATTGGTTTGAAGAGAAACTGAACCTAAAGAAAGGTCTAGAGACCTACAAGACTGCTGCCAACTAACAATTTGAGCAACAGTGGAAAGGCTACCATAAATGCCCTTCCCGGATAGTGAGATCAACAACTAACTTACCCATGGAGCCCTCATCCAATACCTGTTGGAAACAGAAGCAAACATCCATACCTAAACACTAAGTTGAACTAGAACCCAGATGCAGACAGAGAGGACAAGACCAGGCGGCAGAAACACAGAGACAGCTGACCTGAACAAGGAGGAGCTAACGGGCCCCCAGACTGATAGCTGGGAATCCAGCATGGAACTGACTCAGGCCCCCCTGAATATGGGTCTCAGCCAGAAGGACTGAGCAATCTAAGGAACTCAGACAGTGGAACCAGGATGTATTCCTGGTGCACAAAAGGACCTTGCAGACACATCCTCCATGGAGGGATACTGCCTTAACCTAGAGACAGGAGAGAAGTCCTAGTCCCTATTTCAAATGACCTAAATGACCCCTCCTGGATGGCATTGCCCTGCGTGTAGAATTGGGGTGGGGGGATGGGAGGGGAGGGTGGTCAGGGTGCATGTGAGGGGGCAGAGAGGGTAAGAGGGAGGGAGGGAGAGGGAACTGGGATCGACATGTAAAATAAAAATAAATAAATAATAACAATAATTTAAAAAAAGAAAACCTGAATGTCCTCTTAGAGCTTGCAGATGTTTCCAGGTTATCACCAAAGTATCACCTCTAAAAGAGAGTCAGTGGAAAACGAAGGCAGGGGTTTAAATGAGTCCACTACAGGAAAATCCCCAATGAGCTGGCTTGAACTGTATTTAGGCATTGCCACCGGTCTCAGATTTGTCTTTGAGAAGAAGTTCATGCCACCATGACAAGATATGGACAGAACCCTGGTGTGGAAACACTCATTTCATGGGCAGAAACATCATTTCTCCATGAAAATTGATTTAAAAATCAATCAAACAAAAAAGCCATAGAATCAAATCTGTCATAACATCTGGAGAGATGTCTTGGAGGTTAACGGGATTGGCTGCTCTTCCAGAGGACCCAGGTTCAATTCCTAGCACCCAGTTAGAGGGGATCTGATGCCCTCTTCTGGCCTCTGTGGGCACCAGGCATGCATGTGATTCATAGAAAGGCACAACACACATACATTTTTTTTTTAAGTAGTTTTTTGTCCCACCTGTCTCCTTGACTTGACTTGTAACCAGTTTGTAGCTTCTTTTGTTATTGTTGTGTTGAGGATCAAACCAAGATCCTTGTGTAAACTAACAAGCTATCTAAACTAAGATGTCTCTTCATCCTCTCCCTGTATTTTTCTTTCACCTACTTTAGCCTCCTGAGAATCTGAGATGGGGGGATGGAAGGAAAGAAGTGGGAGGAAGGGTAATGGAGACTGATTCTGCTTTCTAACAAAATTTCATATACCAAGCTTCAAAGTGAATGTCTGGAAATTAGACATGTTGAACCCAAGTAAAAAATTTAATTTGTTGTGAAGAAAACATCTTTGTCTCACCTGCATCCATGGGGAGTTCAAAATCTTAAAGTTTTCGTTTAATTTCTCCATCAAATTAAGGAAATTCTTGTCGTTATAATCAAAACGATTGTGAAAAACAACTGAGCAGATCACATTGGAGGGAGCACAGCTCAGGATGAAGGTGGGATCACAGGGTGAGCCTGAAGGATTGGAGGCATTTTAAAATACAATTAAAACATGCATGTAAAGTCTTTATCTGTGGGCTTAAAAAGCAATAATAACTTTAGAATCTCTAAGGAAGAATTGCACAGAAATTACCACGTTGGAAGAACATCCACACCCTTCCAATTAGCACATCACTTTTTCATTAACCCTAGCTTGCATAACAATCATTAACTAAATCATTAACATCTGGTCCCTGCAGACGTCTCTTTTAGGGTACACAGTCTAATTCTAAGAAAGCACACGACCACTTCTAAGAACACATTAAAAAGTCAAGTTCTCAGTATAGAATCCCATTTCTCTTTGAAGGTTCCACACAATTAAGGAAGAAAATAACCAATCCAGAAACATTTTATATCTAGTGAATGGCTGAAGGGATGGTATCCACAGCCAACAGAGGAGAAGGCACAGGGAAAAATGGTTAAAGAAAATTAGTGCAATCATCAAGACAAATTAAAGGAGCAGAAGTAGTCACATTAAACAAAAACCAATGTTTGCCTATAATAAAAGCAAAATTAAAAAACATTTCAAATGTAAATCCAAATGGGACAAACATTAACAAATGGAGTCCTTTAATTTCTTCATTTTAATATTGAAAAAGAAATATGCGCAATTTTGGGGAAAACAGTGTTCCTAGTCAACAGGTACATTGGTTTAATTTATTTAGATGAAGCCTGCCCTCTACAGGAATCCTGGATATTGCCCTATATAGCCATTAACAGAGTGTATGCCTTTCATAATCATTTCAGTCAATTTGATCATAAGAAATAAAAGAAGAAATATTTACTTTGCACTGGTATATAAATATAATGATGAGAATTTGACCAGCACCATATAACAATCTGTGTGGTAATATATTTATGATTTATTAAAGCTTGCCTGAGGATTCAGAAAGCAAAGCTAGCCTCAAGCTATAGAGACCAGGTGGTGGTGGTACACACCTATAATCCCAGGACTCAGAAAAAAAGGCAGATGGACCTCTGAGTCCAAGACGTTGAAGAGTGAATGAGACATTCAATCTGACAATTAGTCTCTAGCCACATTTCAGACAGCATAGCAGTGAATCTGAGGAGCAGTGAAGTTGAAACAGTTTGACGATCATCCCTTTGGTCTGAACTGAGATAGAGGTAAGAGCTGCCTGCTTTGCTTTTCTGATCTCCAGATTGAAGCCTGAACCCCAATATCTGTCTCTGGGTCTTTTATGTATCATGCTACAAATCTGTAGTCCCTGTCCCTCAAAACAAGAGGATGGCAAGCTTGAGGACAAACTGGACTGCAGAATGAAATGCTGTAAAAAAAAAAAAAAACTGTTTTGTGTTTTTTGGTTTGGTTTGGATTTTTATTTTTAGAGACAGAGTGGCTCAACTTTGGAACCAATCCACAGAGATCTGCCTGCCTCTGCCTCCCAAGTGCTGGGATTAAAGGCATGGGCCACCACAGCTGTGCCCTCAAAAGCAATTTTTAATTGAATCACCAATAAGCTTTAAGTGCAAGAATCATCAAATTCATACCACAGATGTGATGAAACGTATATAATGAATGAAAAGTATGTAAAGAAATGAGAGGGAATCCAAACTATAGAAACCTGTATAGCAGGCAAATGGACGGAACTAGGAAAACTCATCCTGCATGAGGTTACAGAAACCCAAAAAGACAAATATAGTATATTCTCACTCTGAATACCAGACATAAAGCAAAGTATAACCAGCCTACAATTCACAACCCCAGAGAAGCTAGATTCTTCTTCCAGAAACAGATTAAAACAGATGCAGAGATCTACAACTAACCATTGGACTGATCTCCTGGAGTACATTAATGTGAGGGAGGAGCCATAATATGAACAAAAGATTCAAGACCATGATGGGAAAACCTACAGAATCAGCTGACCCAATCTAGTAAGATATCATTGACTTCCACACTGACAACTGGGGAACTGCATAGGACTGAACTAAGACCCCTGAATACAGGTGACAATGTTGTGGCTTGGGCAGTATATGAAGCCACTGGCAGTGGGACCAAGATCAAGCTATAAAGCATAAACTGATTTAATGGAGTCCATTTTCCATAGAGAGATACCTGCCTCAGCGGAGGGGCTTAATACGCTTCAATGAGGTGATGAGACAGATTTAGTTGTCTTCCTAGGGAACACCTTACCTTCTCTGAGGAGTGAATGGGAGGGGGGTTGGGGGAAGGAGGAGAGAGTGGGAGGGAAAGAAGGAGAGGGAATTTAATGGAAGGAAGGGAGGGAGGAAGGGAGGGAGGGAGGAACTAACAGATCTGATGTTATACTCCTTTTCAGGTAAAACACCAAGATATTTAGGTTTTTTATAGTAAATAAATAAATAAAAGGAAGAAAGAAAAAGGAACACTCTCATTTTGCTTTGGAAGATAAGAAATAATTTAAATTATTAACTTAAATCAGGCATGGTAGCATACACCTTTATTCTGAGCACTCTGGAAGCAAAGCACGCAAATTTCTGAGTTTGAGACTAGCGTTGTCTACATACTGAGTTCTAGGATAGCCAGGACTACAGGGTAAAAGACCCTGTCTTGAGGAAAAAAAGATTTGTGTGTGTGCATTTCAGACTACAAAATCTAATTTCTGGTGCTGGAGACCGCCTCAGCAATTAAGAGCACTGACTACTCTTCCAAAGGACCTGGGTGACTGTGGCTCAAAATCATAGGCAACTCTAGTTTCAGGGCATCCAATGACCTCTTCTGGCCTCTGTAGGCATGGCATGCATACGGTACACAGGCATGTCTACAGGGGAGACATCCGTATACATTAAGTAAAACTGGAAATAAGTAAATCTCAATTTTTTTTTTTTTAGCTGACTCCTAATCTATTGTTTTTTTTTTTTTTTTTTTTTTTTTTTTAGGAAAGATAAAACTCAAAGCAACTTGGAATACAAGCTGACAAACCAAATTCACTTTGGCAAGCATTCCATGAGTAGAACTAGCATTGGGGTTAAATAATTATCGTAAAAGTTCTAAGCCAAAATTCCAGTGGTTTAATATGCACCCAGAACTTCCTTTTTATTCAGATATGGTGAGGACAACAAATCAGATGAGATTAATAGGGAAGATTGGTGGTTACAGTGCCCAAGAGGAGGCAAATGACATCACACAGGGTCACTCAGGGATTAGCATCAGGGTTGGTCTGCAGAAGAGTTCGGAGAGATCAGGGAACCAATTATTGTAGAGGGTGAAAAGGCCTTGCACACACAGATAATTGCTGGAGGGAGTCCAGGAAAGGTAAACACACAGCTTACCTCTTCATTGGAATTAGGTGCATAGCTGCTCATCCTGGAATGCCAGGAAGGATGTAGTTTTCTACCCTGATGACCCTTTTCTGTCTGATGAGACAGGCTCTGTTCTCCCAGAAGTTACGTTTTTACTTATCCCCCTAAATCTTGAGTATTGTTTTTAGACCATAAAACCTACTCTTATGAGTGATGTCACTTGTGCTTTATAACAGCCTAAGTGACTTCTATGCTGCCTTAGGCCCAGGCCAATCCTGACACCCTTGGTGTTATGTTTACCTCAGTCAAGCTCCTCCAGACCCTTATTCTCTGAGTCGCATGGGACCCACTCTTGTGAAAGAGGCCAGATGTACTTTATAAGGAATCTTGATGTCAGCATGCCTTAAACTGCTGTGCACTTGGGAATGAGTTCATTGTTATCTGAATACTTTTTTTCCCAAAATTGTGCTGTGCTTAAATATCACTAAGGTAAAAAGGTCTGAGTCAGGCTCAAGAAGTCTTGGTCTAAAGCTGATTACAATAAAACCAGGCTGAGCTGAATTTCACTCTTGTCTCTTCCTGCATCATTATTTTTCCGACGTTTGTTTGTTTTTGTCTCTCTCTCCACCCCCACCCCCACCCCACACCTTCTGGAAAGCCTGCAGGGCATTGAGACATCCCCAGGAGGAAGCCATGAATCCAGGAGAAAACACTGAGTGATGCCTCATTGATAGAATAGCCTCAGAGGCATCTAAGCCATGAGGATGCTCTTAGAGATCCCATACCATGCTGTGGGGTGACCCTGGACATAGAAAACACAGAATTATCATTTGAAAATTTGATAAAGGAAACATTTGGGAGAATGGGCTATGGTTAGGCTCCTCTAAAAATCAGAGACATATTTTCTGTGCCTAAGGAATAGCTAAGCCTGGGGGTAAAGGCCCCTCCCTAGATCTGGAAGGCATCTATGAATCAAAGATTATAAAATATAGAAAATCAAAACATGGCTAATAATCAAATAACAGAAGATAGATTTAAAATTGTCTTACAGTTAAGGGAATGTAAGGTAGAGTTAATAGTAGTTGAAATGTGTTAAATAAATTATTTCATACATGATACATATTAGCAACAGTCTGTCATTGCACATATTTACTCAAAAGATATGAAATAGCATAACAAATAGTGATTAACATCAAATAACCACTGATCATTTTTAAACATCCCTTTGTTTACAGAGTAAACACAAGTGATGAAAGTTGCACTCAACAATGCTAAGTAAAAGAAAATGAAAACGCAGTAAATAGCATTATTGACAGAAGTTGCAAGTATGGATCGTGAGGCAAATCTGTGTCAGTGTGTCACTAAAGCTAACCAAACAGATGTGGACCACCTCAATGACAAAACATGTCACTTCCTCATGTTCCATGAAAATATGATGGGCTCATTCATGCCACAAACACTTAACAAATATCCTCCAAGAAAATATTCTAAAAAATAAAGTCATAAAGTCATAATTACACTATGAGGAAAATGTTACCCCATATGAGTTTTTTTTAATGAGACTCAAAACTTTCTAGCTTCATGATGTTTAGTCTGAAATCAAGCTGTGGTAGAACGGGATTAGATGAGTATTATGACCACAGTACATGCACAGTCAGTGTGTACAAACATAAAGACAGACAAGCAAAGCTCTGTCTTTGGGCACTAGTTTGAGAGTAACAACCCCTGCCCAGGAGTAGCTGGCTACCCCTGCAGTGTTGAAAAGGGCATCATTAAGGAAGAGCCAAGTAAAGGGAACCCACCATTTGTTTTTCTTAACTCTTCTACAAGGCACCGTGCTTCCTCTTGAATGCGATCCTCGATGCTTCTCTTCCCCATCCCAAAATTCCTCAAGGTCATAAGTGAGAAGCGCCGAAGCTCCTTCCATTTTGTTCCGTTGCTGAAAATGATGCCTACCAGAACAGGAAATGGAAATAGGAGGGAGACACCAGACAAGGAAGAAGAACTGACCTCTGGCTGCCACTTGACTCCCTGCCCAAAGAGCTTTTTCTATCTCATCCCCATGATCCCTGCCCATCACACACCTGCACGCACATGGACGCACATACATGCACACGTGGGCATGTGCACACTTACCAAGGCCATTATTCATTCTTTCAACAATTGGGAAGCTACCCCTTCCAGAAAACTCCTCTCCAAGACTGTCCAGGGCCTCCTTTACTGCTTCATATCCATGCACCACAACACTGGGCTTCGTGCCAAAATACAGAGTGAACACAGGACCATAGACTTTTGACAACTAGAAATTTTTTAAAAAAAAAAAAAAGAAGAAAATGCATGTAGCAGCAGAAGAATCTAGATCTAGGCTGATATTAGCATCTTTATCTCCACATTTGTAGTTTTCCAATTCACAACTTCAAATTTAGGTGGATTCAGTACCTAAAAAGCTATCTGTTATAGTTTTCAGGTGCATCGTGAGTCTATTTTACCAGGAGATTGCCAGGCAAATAATGTACAAACTGTCAAAACCATGACACTCTGAAGTAAGTTTATCTGTGGGTTTCTAAAGAGAGTGACACTGAGAAAAATCTCAAATTCATTTTGCTTTCCCGTGGATAAATGTCAAGACTCGGATTTGAACCCTCATCAGGGGATCTCTTACACTTGAGCAAGTCAGCAGTTCCCAGTGTCCACATTGAAACGAATACTCAACTGTGAGGAACGCTACTTCAGGACTCTGCTAGGTTCTTCTCACAGGGTATGACTCGGTTCCCCTGTGATAAATACTGGAAAGCCATCATTTTAACACTCTCCCTCGATGAGTATGCCAGGCAGTTTGTAACTCTGATATTACTGACTAAGGGACAGATAGCAATAGTGCCAGCACATGCAGTGTCCCACAGAAGGACAATCTCTTCCATGCTGTTCATTCATAGGCCAGACAGCAGCTTTGCATAGAGTTCAGAAATGCTGGTGCCCCTGATGGACCTAACTACTAGTTCTATGTTATGTGCATATGTTTAATGTTGACTCAGATTTCCTTAGTGTCAGATATAAATTGTTTCTTTGAAGAAATTAAATTATTTTCGCTAACTTAAACCTAATACATTACATGTACATAAATGGCTTCTCCAGTAAATTCTCAAAACAATTCCATTACCTTTTAATAGCTAAAGACCACAAAGCAGAAAAGGCAGCTGTTTTCTGCTATATGGACTTTATCTTACAATATAAAAATTTCTATTCTAGACAAATACATCATCTAATTTAATCATTTCTGACAGTGACAAACCAAATATGATAGTCCACAGGGCACAATTGCCTTATAGTAACACAGTTCAACCATTTGCCTCCAGAAGTGTATTTATTTAACAGCAGAGATGAATGTTTGCTTTCCAGCCACTGTGGAGCAAAAAGCATACTTACTTCGTTTAAGGATTTGCTGATGTCCTTTATATCTATCTGCAGGATGTTTCCAATCAGTGGGAGAGGAGTGGGGCCAGGAGGGAGCCTCCCTCTCCCAGAGTTCTGTCTCCAGACTGAGAAGAGAAGCAGACAGGACACAGTGAGCACCAGGGCCAGGACCAGATCCATGGCAGCCTTCTCTTCTTAGGGAGACACCTGTGAACTTGCACTCCTGAGCTTTCACAATGCTAGCTGCTAACTTGACATTTGCCTCTGAGTGTAAGTGACCAATTAGCGAGGTGCACTTTTATCTCTCCCCTGGGTGGACTCTGGCCTGTTGAAAAGCTCTAAAGCTTCTCTTTACCGGCTCACTGCCCCACCCCCTCACCACGCTGCTCTAACTAGTCTGGAGTTGGACTTGGCCCAGGAACTATTGTGGGCTTTTTATTGTTGTTGTTATGCTTTTTATTTGTGGGGTGGGGCACATTTCAATACCTTAGGTAGTTTCACTTGCATCCTGAAGCCCGAACTGAGGTGCAAAGAAATAAATATTTGTATTCATGTATGCATCTGGGTGTGTTCCCTCCCATGCCCCCTGGCCCCCCTCCCATCCTATCACCCCCACTCCACATGTAGAGTGATGCCTTCCAGGAGGGGTCAACAAAATCTGTCAAGTCATTTAGAGTAGGGACTAAGCCTTCCCTCCTGCCTCTAGGTTAAGGGAGTATCCCTCCATGGGGAATGTGCTCCCAAAGTCCTTTTGTGCACCAGAGATATATCCTAGTTCCACTGTAAGAGGTCCCTTAGACTGCCCAGGCCTTCTAACTGAGACCCATGTTCAGGGGGTCTGAGTCGGTCCAATGCTGGATTCCCAACTATCAGTCTGGGGGGGGGGCATTAGCTCCTCCTTGTTCAGGTCAGTTGTCTCTGTGGGTTTCTGTAGCCTGGTCTTGTCCTCCCTCTATGCATCTGGATTCCAGTTCGGCTCAGTGTTTAGCTGTGGGTGTCTGCTTCCGTTCCCATCAGCTACTAGATGAGGGTTCTATGAAGTTAGTCATCAATCTCATTTTGTTTTGGATTTTGTGTTTTGTTTTGTTTTGTTTTAAGACCAGATTCCTCACTGAACCAGGAGCCCTGGAGATCACCAGTTTGACCAGTGAACTTCAGGGATCCTCTTGTCTCTGCCCCCCACCGAGCACTGAGATTATAGAGAGCCCAGCTTTTGCAGGAGTGTCAAGGACACTGAACTCAGATCTTCATGCTTTCACAGTGGATACTTTACCAACTGAGTCATTTTTCCTGAACCTGAAGTAAATTGTGAAAATATCATTCCAGTTTCTAGACTGGGAACCAGTTGGAAGTTTAGGATGTTGGAGGCAATCCATGTACTTTATCCCTGGTCTATTTAGCCATTGATGCTTTTCAAACATTAGGATACCTTCCTTGAGACTGAAAGTCTGATCCAAGATTGCAGCATTGTGTACCAACATGAGAGTTGCCTAAAGAGAAAAATATGTATATCCTAACTCAGATGTCTTTGATTTAGGGAGAGTCTTTTTCACCCCTGTGTATCATCCCTGTCCACAAACCCAATATCCTACTGCCTCTGGCTCCCGCGTGGGCCACCACTTGGAAAATGTGCACATTTGAACTGACCCAACATATATTAAATAATTAGGTGAGTAAATGTATGCATATATTACCACTAAATGCCCTTTTAAAAACACTTACAGCTGGGATTTTTGTTTCTAATTGCGTTTTGTTGTTGTTTTGTTTTGTTTTGTTTTTAATGGATAAAGGCAGTCTGGGGGCATAGCAGACATTGTATCTTGTACCTCATACATGGGAGAACTGAGCTTTAAGATGAGATCTGTTGGCCATTGTAGTGTCCTGTGGCTTACACTGAGGCTATCCAGAGGGCAAATTAAAACCAACCCCCAAAATCTAATTATCCTGAAGGTACAGCACTCTGATTTGATTCCTAAGACAATAGGCTTCCTACTAAATAGAAGCTCTTATTTGACTCAGATGTGTTGGGACAGGGGAAACAAAAACAAAAACTGAGCTAGTCTCACCTCTGCAGAGATGAAAGAAGGGAGGGTTGTGCAATGCTCTCTTAGTTATCTTTGAAGGGGTTTTGACAGTTTGGTTCCCACAGTTCTCACGGCAACCATAACCCCCCTTAGTTTCTCTCAGTTACCTTTGCCTAAGGTCAAATTCTTTCTTTTCCAGTGCTGAGGAAGTTGGGCCTTAGCAATTCAGACAGACTAAGGATGGTAGAACTAAGACTGGAAACTATGTCCCCTGCACTTTGCGCCCTTCTCTCCAGGCTTCTTTCTGTTCATCTGGGTTCACCAAGAACCATGATTTAACATTTCATGACTCAGGCTGTGACTGGCACATAAACATGGATTTAGTTAATAATTACAGCTGCTGTGTGTTAAGATTGGTGTCGGAAGATCATCTTATGATACTCATTGCTTGAGTGAATGCAGGGATTGGTGAATTCTTTATCCAAGGCAAAGAGAAGCAGCCTGACTCACATCACCCTAAAATGGAATAGCTGCAAACCACGGACAGTTCTCCTTAGAACAATTGTGTTTTTCTTACAGCTGTCCTTACCATGAGCCTGCACTGTGTGCTTTGGACATTGAACCTCTGAGCTAAAAGAAATTTTTTTCCCTTCATAAGTAGCTGTTCTATTTTCATTTCTGTTGATGTGAAAACCATCCTGGGAGAGAGGAGATTTGTTTTAGCATACAGTTCCAGCTTACAGTCCAGCCTAGTGAGTAAATCAAAATTTAAAATTATTAAAACAAGACAGGAACTTCAAGCAGCTAGTCATCACCTTCACAGTCAAGAGCAGAGAGAGAAATGAGTGCAAACACACTCACTTGTGTGTGCTCAGCTGGTCATACCACATTCATAGTCGAGAGAGAGAGAGATGATGCATACACACCCGAAGGCTCTCGGCATGATTTCTCTACCTTGAGATTCGGATCGCCTCTCTACCTTGAGATTCGGATCGCCTCTCTACCTCCTAAGAGCTGAGATTGCAGACATGCACCAGCACACTCAATGTTATGCAACACTGAAGCTCAAACCCAGACCTTGGTGCACACTGCACAAGCAGTCTACCAAGTGAACTACATAGCCACACCAGCACTGAGAATTTCTAAGTATGTCATACATACTTAGTTTTTGTGTAGGTGCATCTTTGTGTGATATAATTTACACGCGTGTTCATTTGCATGTGGAAGCCAGAGGTCAATCTCAGACATCTTCAGGTGTCATCAACCATGCTTTGTTTTGTTTTTGAACTGGTCTCTGACTGTCTTGGAACTTATAAGTTCCAGCAAGGCCCAGGGACCCTCCAGTCTCTTCCTCTCAGCACTAGGATTACAAGCCTGCATCACCAAAGCCTGCTGTTTTTTTAAACATAGGTCCTGGGTGTCAGATATGACTCCTTATGCTTCCACAGAAAACACTTCATCAATTGAACCATCCCCTTAGTCAAGCATGTAGAGCCTTGAATTGACAAAACAAACACCTTAATTACTATTTAACTCTAAGTTGGAAACAGAAAGCAAAAACAATATTCACTATCCCTACTTTATGCTCACAGTAAACACTAAAGCAGGGGCATTAGCCCTAATTAAAAAAAAAAATCATTCCCCAGTGGCTGATAGTCTGAAAGTCCCAATGCCAGAAACTGCTCTTAGATAACAGTTTCCCTTGTCCAAATCCAAATGTCCAGTAACAGCCAAGAAAGCATTTCTTCCCTCTTCTTCTTAGTCCCTTTCTGTCTAAATCTTTATGCGAGCAAATATGGCCTCTCGGGACTTTGTTTCCATTACTTCTTCCTCGCATCATGCCCATCATAAGAAAGAGAGTCTGAGAACTACACTAGAAACTACTTTTTATTCAGCACATGCAGGGAACAGATGCCTCTGAACTGTCATAGTCTAAAGATGTTGCTGTTTTACAGTAAAAACATAGTATTAGTTGTAACTGAATCGTGTAGGTTATGTATACTCACTGCAGAAGTATTGCATGGGAATGTCACAAAATATAGAAGACAAGGAGTTGAACTGTGTATTGACCCAGAGAACTCTGGATAATAGGGTTTGATGTTCACTGGGTCTCACGGGAATGGGGGAAAGTGAGAGAAAGGGACTATAGTACCAGAAATGAAATGAACAGTACCCGCAAAGCAGAGAAGTTGCAGATTGAGAGCATAGGGAGTCTGCCTTTTACACAGGAATAAAACAAGCTTGGTACAAAGGGGGCACATGGTTAAATTCACTGGTTACTGGTATGGTATCAATGTCCTTCACATCAACCAGAAGCTTCAGGTTAAAATTCTGTAAAACAGATTTGTGTCTGAATTACCGTGCTAAAAGTTGTCATGGAGAGTACATAGTACATAGTCAGTGAGTTGTTAAGTATGTGGATAGAAGACACACATCACATTCTCTGCTCCAGACACAGCTTCCTTCACCAAAACTTCAAGCTGCCCCATTTGACCAGGCAATGCTCTGCTACTTCCCTCAGGAGCGGTGACCTTTTTTCTTTATGACCCTTGTGATCTTAATAGGATCTTAACCTCTGTGGTCTTCCTCATCATACGCATGATTCTACATAGCAGAGACTGCTTGTGTCCTTTCTCATCTTTTGCCTTCCTGACAAAATGAGTTCCTTAAGAAAAAGGGGAGGTGTGTGGTGGACTCAACTTGATTTGCACGCTTTCAGGACCAACATAAGAATCAAACCCTACTGCAAAAGGTAAAGGTGAATCTATGCCCAGAGACTCCGCACACATAATGGAGCATTGAGATTGAACATCCAAGGTGTAGGATCATAAGTAAAGGAAACTCCAGGAGCTCTGGAATCGCTGCAGAGTGGCCTTCCACGTGCCCAAGGTCTTTCTCATCCTGCACTTACTTGACAGGTTCTGACTTCCTGCATCTACAGAAAATGTCTCCTCCTGTACAGTTCCCTGCCTCCTCTACTTTATCTTACAACCTTGCTCCCTATGAGCCAGCCAACCTCCCTCTGACCTTTGGGAATACTCATGTGGGTACAAAAGAGCAAGCTCTGAGTAACTTCCCCTCTGACTTCCTCTCTTACAGCACTAATCCAACTGGATTACAGTGCCCTGTTGGCTCACTCACCTGTCTCCCTAACTCAGAAGTGAGTCTCTTTCAGAGCATGAGTGTGTTC